ATCCTCCTGTCTTTCTGTCTTATTACCCTCACACGCTGAGTCTATCCTTCAGCTCAGTCCCTCTTTTGATTAATCCCTCCAAACCCCCCTTATTTTTCTGTCCGAGTGCTGCCTCTCTCTGTTTACTTACACCCCTCTATTTTCTCTTTCCCTCTCTTGAGTTGCCTCCCTGTTTGCGTCTCCCACTTTACCAGAGTCTCTCTCGTGTCTTTTTTTTGGCCTCCCCGTTGAGTCCCTATTTTTTAATTATGTGCTCTCCTGCTGAGTTTCTTCTGCCCTTCCAAAATGCCTGGGTCCCTGATATTTTTGTGTCAAATTCTCTTTGTGGTTCTTCCAGAGTCCCCCTTTTTACTTTGATTCTTTTCCATGTGCCCCCCATGTCTTAGGATCCAAAACCCTTTGTTCCTGTCTGTCCAGCACTGCAGGACCGTATTGCCCTGTTCTCTAGAGGCCTCCTCAGACCTCTGCTTACAGGGCTTTCATTCTTGTTCTGTAATAGTCCGTTAATTGTCTTGTTTATCTTTTATAAAATGAGACAATGTTTCTCAACAGCTTGTTTGTCGGGTATTTGGATGGGGTCTCGTAGCGCCAGAAAGTTCCCCACCATAATAGCACGTTCAGCAGATTACAACATTGTAGGCCGAGGAGAGGAAGCTGAGTAAGAGGGAATTGCTTAAAAATAAATGAAATTGACACATGAATTTCTCCCCCATACAGATACAACATATCTAAAATGGCTACTTTTCCTGTAACGTAAAAGGACACCTACCTTTCGATTGTAAGCTTGTTACAGCAGGGTCCTTATCAAGCGAAATGTATGTGCAAATTTTGTAGTAGTTTGTCTCATTTGTTGTTAAACACCCCCTTTATAACACCGTAAAACGAGTCGGAATAGGTTGGCGATATATAAATGCCAATAATAATAATTTATTTGTAGAAGCTTTGACTTCTCTTGTTTAAGAACTAGTAAGATTTTCAGTAGAATGTGCAAAGCTACTAAGATTGTTTCCTATGCAGGTTTTATAGCCAGCCTTCTAATTCACTAAAGGAATTTAATGTGACATACAAATGCTATGCCAAAATAATTGAACTGAGAAAAATATAGACGTTTTCAAATTAGGCTATTGTGGTCTAGAAATCTGACATTCATTTTTAATTCACATTGCATTTACTAAAGTGAGAATTAAAAGTGAATCTAAATTCAAGTTCCTAAAAATCAAATTATATACCATGTTATCACATGCTTTATCCATACACGGCAAATTGGAATTATAGCCCCCTTGACAAACGGATTCAGGGTTAATCATTAAAGAGTAAATTATTAGGATTTTAAAATAATGTAAGAAGTCTATGTTAAATAGATGGTTTCAATCCATCCATTTTTGCAAAAACAAAAATATAATTTACTTTGAATTCGCAACAATTGACACTTTGGTGAATAACCCAGAACAGCATAAAAAAAACCTTACATTCGTGCAAAAACATGAACGAAATGTGCTAGTTAATCAGGATTATTCCTGCATGGTTGCTTGGTTTTCTGTTATCAATTATGACAACACCCTGTTTTTTTCACAGTACTTAGATACCTTTTCAAAAAAACAACAAAAAGTGCTTCTTTATTTTATATGATTAAGTTACATGTTAAGATACGCGTTTATCATTACCGTTTGTTACCCAGAATCCCACAATTATTCTCTGATTTAGCTCCTTTAAATGCCACAGCACTAGATGCATGCACGTTAACTTGGGGGAAAAAAAACAAAACTCTTTGGGTTACAATATGAGTTTGTTATGGCAGTGTTTGAGAGACTTGCCAGTAAGCTTACAATCTAAAGGATATTATACTAGATCCGTGCAGTTCTCTAATGACCAGATGAGAACATTTTTCAGGAGTGTGGGCCCTTTATCCTCTATTTTAATTCTCTGGCAGTTAGCGTGTGGGAGTTTCGGATAGATCTCTGCATAGAATTGTCAAGTTCATTGCTGATGAGGTGTGACCTCGGTAACTGCGCCTCTGATTGCTGTTGTACTTGCTGAGGTTTTGTGTTGTTGTAGGACCCGGATGTTGCTGCTCTGCTTCCTCCACATGCTACGGGTGAGAAAACCTGCCATTCTCCTATCTATTTCCTTGCTGGTAGTTGGTAGCCTGTGCCATCCCATTTGTATTTTTCGCATGTGGGTGTGCACGTATAAGCGCATGCATGAGTGCAGATGTACGTCCATGTGCATTTTTTTCTTTCTCTTCTCTATATATTTTTTTAAATTTAAATAAACATACTGTGGGACCTCGGTTTACAAACGCCTCGATTAACATAATTTTCGGTTTACAAATGAAAATCCATTGAAAATAATGCCTCTGTTTACAATTTTTTTTCGCAAAACAAAGCAAGTTTCCCCAGGATGCATTGCACCTGGGAGGTTTATAGCACCGCCCCCTGCATGCTCGAGCCTGTGGGTAGCACATGGCGTCGAGTGTGGAGGTGTTGGAGCGGCTTTTGCATAGAGTTTTGGAGCCATTCTGGAAATTGCAGTTATTTTGGGACTTTTTGTTGCATTTCTCAAGCTGTGGAACGGTAGAGAGCTGAGCTTCGTCGTTTGCATGCCTTTTATTCTGTTTTCTGCATTGTGGGTTGGTTTCCATGCCAGCTCATTTTGACTTTTTTTCTGACCTCCAGAACGGATTAATTGGTTTTCAATGCATTCCTATGGGAAACCGCATTTCGGTTTACAAAATTTTCGCAATAAGAAAACGTCTTGGAGAACGCATTAAATTCGTAAACCGAGGTCCCACTCCCACTGTATAAGCAATTGTATATTTAAAGGGACACTATAGCCACCAAAACAGTTTTGGGATATATATATAAAAATCTGCAGTCTCACTGTTAAATTCTCTGCCATTTTGGAGTTAAATCACTTTTGTTTCTGTCCATGCAGCCCTAGCCTTTTCTCTGGCTGTGACTGACACAGCCTGCATGAAATGTTTTTTTTTTTTTTTGCATTTTCAATCAGATGTTAAAGGGACTCTCCAGTGCCAGGAAGACAAATCATTTTCCTGGCACTGCAGGTCCCCTCTCCCTCCCACCTCCCATCCCTGGTTGCTGAAGGGGTCAAAACCCATTCAGTGACTTAATTGAGGCAGCGCCGTTGTCCCTCGGCGCTGCTTCTGGGTCTGCCCACGCTCCTCCCCGTCACCACGTAATCTGACAGGGGAGACCTATCACTTAGGCCGGTGGGGGAGACCTATCACGCCGGCCGGCGGGGGGGAGACCTAATGCGCCGCGCATGCGCATTAGACCTCTCCATAGGAAAGCATTGAAAATGCTTTCCTATGGGGATTTTAGCAGTGCTGGAGGTCTTCACACAGCGTAGAAGCAGGAAGTACCCTCTAGTGGCTGTCTAGTAGATTTAGACAGCCACTAGAGGAGGAGTTAACCCTGCAATGTAATTATTGCAGTTTATAAAAACTGCAATAATTACACTTGCAGGGTTAAGGGTAGTGAGAGTTGGCACCCAGACCACTCGAATGGGCCGAAGTGGTCTGGGTGCCTGGAGTGTCCTTTTAACTTGCTTTAAATGTTTTTATCACATGCTCTGTAAATTGAACTTAAATAACACACTTGAGGCACCTGCAGGGTCTAACAAGCTAGTATCAGAGCAGGAGATAAGAAATTCTAAATTAAACAGAGTTTGCGATAAAGGAAGCGTGACTGGGACTCTAAAAACAAAACAATTTAACTCCAAAATGGCAGAGAATTGAGCAGTGAGACTGCAGAGACATGATCTAAACATCAAAACCACTTAATTACGCTAAGGTTGTTTTGGTGACTAAAGTGTCCTTTTAAACATAGCGATTTACTTTAAAGGGTCACTCCAGGCAGCCCTTTTTACTCACCTCATGAAGCCGCGCCCCCTGTTTCGTCAAAATGACGAAATAGGCAGGCGCGAGCAGGGAGCAATCAGACGCTTCCATGCGCAACAATCCGATGCTTCATGCATTCATGCCCCCCTATGAAGTCCTGAGCACGGTGTGCGCGGCCGCGAGCTGAGCTGACTAACCGCTCAGCTCGCGGTCTTTGTCCGCCCCCTCTCCTCTGCTGACAGGCAGGATAGAGGAGGCGCGCACACAGTGCCTTCTCTCTCTTCCACACGTCAGACGTATTTTAATACGTCTGATGTGTACATGGCCTTTTTAGGGCCATGCATGATAGGAAGTCCCTCTGGTGGCCGTCTTAGTGACGGCCACTGGAGGTATTCCTATCAATCAATGTAAACACACTGTATTTTCTCTAAAAATACAGTGTTTACATTAGATTGCCTGCAGGGAGCTATAGATCTCACCTGAACACCTACATTAAGCTGTAGTTGTTCAGGTGACTATAGTGTCCCTTTAAATTAGGGTTGGGGGGAGCCAGTATGTGGTCGTGCCTGTGATACAATTGGTGTCACCCCACTCGGACTGGGCTGTACATACACGGAGTGCCGTTTTAGCCATCACGTTCGAGCTTAAAATCTTAAAAGATGAACTCTTAGGGCACTTGCATGGAGCTCTCTGTAGCTCCACTTGGCTAAGCCTTGGATGTAGATGAAATTTTCATTATAGGAAGTAAGGCCCTTGAACGTGTTGCCCAACAGATTAATGAAGTGGCAGCCCATTGGAAAGGGCCCATTTAATTATTATTATTTTTTTGTGTACTCTTGCATATTACGCATATGTTCGTTCCTGGCAAAGTCCAGATTTTATCATATTTGAAACTGTGAATACTTTTTTGCAGGCTTGTTAAATTTTTTATGCATTTTATGTGAAATGTAAAAAATAAAATAAAAAATACAACATTTGAATCAACAATGATAACTTTATTTAATTAGCATTCCCTTGGAGAAAACTAGAGAGGGGGG